GAAAACTTTATCATGAAATATAGAGGAGTTATGATATATTTTTATAGAATACGGGTGACAAACGGGCTGCAGTACCCAGTCATTTACATCTATCCTCAATTAAGATTCAACATTCAGATGCGTTGTCATCCGTGAAGACTAAGATGGAATAGCCTGTTTCCAGATAAAAGGGTATCTGGTTCTCTCTGTACTGATTATATAAAACCAAGCACAACCACTCAAAATCCTTTCTACTCCACTGCTAGAAAAAGGCTGCAAAGCTTTTTAAAGCTGCAGAAACTGGAATACAGTTTTTAAATATTTAAAATGCTGCTTCTTATCACCTATTGGCAACAGTCTTACAAATCTATTGGCAACCTGATAAGATGAGCAGAAAGTCGATGGATACTAGTTGTGTAGGCGCTTATTGGTAGTTTTTTTGGGGTGGCCTATATTTAGCAGACTTGTAATGTGTTTATTGTATATGTATGTTACTTTTTCATTTCACCTAATCTCTTCAGAGCCTCGTCGATCAATTGCGGTTAAACAAAAAAACATGTGAGGATAACACTTGCAGAAAAAGCAGAAATATTTCCCCCTGCACTTTTGCTAACAAATAATTTTCTTCTTCACCAGCCCGGGAATAATCTTCCTTACGACGAGTAAGGCCTATGTTGATCAGTAAGAGTTTATTACTGCTCAACATAGGCCTCACTCGTCGTAAGGAAGATTATCCCTTATTGTCACGCTCTGCTGCCGGATTGACAATCGCAGTACCAGACATTTCCCACTTTTAAATATGGACATTTAACATTTAAAGTAAAGTGATGGTTATATCGCCATGTTTCGAAAGCCATTACATCTTTTATATTTTCCATAGTCGCCGCTTATTTACCCACGGGATGACAAGGGATGATGAAATTTTCTTTTACAATAACGTATGCTGTACCAACACAGAAAAAAATCTATATAGAGAGTTATTTTGCAATACCCGGCCGAATTTGCAGAGAAGGTTCAGAAAAAAGTAATATAGGCAAAGAGTAAAGAAAAATTAATTAAAAATTCTTGAATTTTCTGTCCTTTTTATCTATTAAATCCAAAATGCGTGGTAATGCATTATTTAAACTGATTTTTCTGCGCACGCGCACACTTGTAAGGGTCGATCGTTATGCAAAAACGTTGTTGCCCATAAATCACATTTAGTTTGGGATATTTTCAAATAAAAGTAGTAACAGATGATTTATTATTTGAACTTAAATTTAAAAAATACATAAAATGGAGTATTTTTTTCATCAAAAAATATTACTTGCGGTAGACATACATACATACATAGACATAGAACATAAGCTGGAGACTCATATGTTTGAAAGAGACTTGAACAAATAATCTAATTATTATGGTAACAATGACAACGCGTACACAACGCAGACAAAAACAATATTTTTACTTTCACCGTTAACGTTGCATTCGTGTTAAAAGTAGTAAGCTAATTTTATGAATAGAAATAATCAATTCTCTTTTTAATTTGAACTTAGTAGCTCCTAAGTTATTGTAACCGAAGCGATACGTCTTAAATAGACGACGTGATTCTGTGCTTTGAACTCGTATTTTACAAGCGGTTGTCATTAAGAGCTTTACAGTACTTGCTAAGAGACTCCATTTCCTTTTGTATTTATCGCATTTCTTTTTCTGAATTTACCTTGAAAAGGGATTTACTTTACAATTTGAAAGTCAAGCACAAAATGTCCGAATTGAACTGATTTATATGAATGTTAGATTTTTATGCTAATGGCCGATTTTCCAATCCTCAGATACAAATAATTCATAAAATAAAATATGACTAAACTATATCTGAGTGTCTTGTGGATAATAAAATTAGGCCAGTCTATATTTTTATGATTTATTCATTTTAAACGGTCTGTTTAAAAATTTAAATAAATAATACGTTTTTGAACGTTCATTTGCAATCTTAGTAGAGGGTAAAATAGGGTAAAACGTGTATAAAATTATCATTATATATACAATATGTAACAAAAACCCTGTGGTTCCCGTTAAGTGTATTATCAGAATCAGCCAACCCTGAGAACTAAAATGTAATGACCCGTAAACATACAGTGTAAAAACATTGTAACCTTGTATACTTTCAATAAACGCCGCAAAGAAATTCTGTCTAGAACCTTATAACCGAAGCATTTTGCTAACAACAATGTGGCACAGAGTTCCAATCCTGCAACTGAAATAATTTTCATCGATGCAACTTTAGATTTGGCGCGCTAGAGCTGCACTAAGTATCCAGAACCACTGTGTACTTGTAAGTATACGACTCCACCATAAGCACGCTCGCTAGCGTCACCAAAGCCAATGAAGCCAACTTCACACCCCTTGTTGTAGTTGAAGCCCATTAAGTGCCGAGAGCTCAGAACAAAAGTGACTCCACGCAGAGACCACGTGGTACGGTGGTGTGTCATCCCAGTCACACTTTAATAACCAAAGCTCTTTAATTAAGAGTCTGGCGTATAAAATGGATGGAGCCACAAATCCCATTATGTCCCACAATCTAGCCACCGTTGACAAAATTGCTCGTTTAGTACATTTTTCTCCTGGTTTGATGACTTTAAAGTAAAAGCAATCATTCGACCTATTCCAATACAAGCCAAGAACTTTTTGCGGTACAGACTTCTCAAATTTCACCTCATTGGTCTTGTGAGAATCACGTATATACGCGAGAACATCATTATAATTGCTTGTCCATTTTGCAAGATCGAATTGCCCTAGCTTGAAGAGCTGAATAAGTTCACCTTTATCACCTTTGTCAGTCAAGAGAAGTTGAATTACGCGGAAATCATGATTTGGACTGGATTTTAGGCCAAAGCATACGCGGTTGAAGCGATATGCTTGTATTTGTTTATTTACATAACAAAATGCGATGAAAATCACGGTCATATTCTGACAAGCCTATTTGCATAAACATCCGCTTACAGTCTGTAGATAATGCAATTTTAAATAATCGAAAATTAAATATTATATTATAAATCACCTTGTAAGTTAGGATCCGCGTGCAGGATGTCATTAATCGATATTCTGGACGTGGACTTAGAACTCGCGTCCAAAACCACTCCTAATTTGGTAGTCGATTTGCCATGGCGGACTACACCATGATGGAAAATGGACTAGTCGTATCGCCTTTGCTTAAATCGACCGGAATCAAATAATCTTTATCTATATATTCTCGAATAACATCATTATATGCGGTGCGTAACTCAGGAGAAGCCTTAAACCTTTTTTCTAAACAATAAAGGCGCTTGAGTGCTATTCTATATGAGTCACCTAAATAAAAGGGGTCATCATTAAAAGGTTATGATACTATATATCTACCACTGACATCACGAACAGTAGTATCGCGAAAATGTAATTCACACTCAAGATCAGACTGACTTAGAGTGGGTGGCGTGGTGACCTCCTCTAGCTCCCATAATCGTTTCAGAAGTGAATCAAAGGGGTCATGAACGACGGAACAACAAGAGGTTGTATATTTGGAAATATGTGAAGTAGGTACAGAGCCCATAATCACATAACCCAGTACCGTCTCAATTGTGGGAGGTGTATTACGACTACTGGTATGCACTATGTTAGGCAATAACAAATGCGGAAAAATACATGCACCCAATAATATAGTCCGCGCTTAAGTCGACGGAAGCGGAAGGCATAATATCCGCAATACGGTCAACAAGCATTGTAACATCGAAATGTATATCATTTTTAAAACGAGAATATGTTTTGATATTTATCGAACCCTTAACGGAATGTTCCGATCCACCGATTCCCTTTATTATGATGTGAAAAATTTCACATTTATTAGATAGTTTAAGACGCTGCAAACAATTAAAAGTTACGAAATTACTTTCAGAAGCGCTGTCAAGGAAACTTCAAATAATAAACTGTTTACCGTGTACATCGTGAACAATTACTTGAGCAGTCGCAAGCAAAACTATGTTTACATTACAGTGACGCTGGTAACTTTCAATGTAATGTTTGCTGACTTCGCTCGGTCTAACATAACGCTTGCTTACTAACGTTGCGCACAGTGACTCTGTAGTCGGCACCATTGTCATACTCGGGTTTAGGTTCATGAAATTATGTGATTTTTTATTGGGGCGTATATCAAAATGCAACATAGTATGGTGTCGCTGGTTACACGATCAACATTTAATTTTTGAAGAACAAGGACCAGTTTTATGCTTTACAGGATTCGTCTTCACGCTTCGTCCGAGTCAACAGTGTTTTTAACGTCTCCGTTTAAATCTTCTTGAAACCGTAGTAAATGTTTATTTTTAATAATAAATTTTTTTTTATAGAATAGGTGACAAGCGAGCACACAGTCCACCTGATGGTAAGTGGTTGCTGCGGCCCATAGACATCTACATCTATCCTCCATTAAAAATCAAAATGAAGACGCGTTGTCACCCGTGAGGACTGAGATGGAATGCCTCGTTTCCAGTAAAAAGGGTCTCCGGTTCTCTACACTCACCATACGAAATACAGCAGCATTAAGCTACTATTTCACGCTGGTATTCTGTGAAAGCGTGGTCCTTCCCCGGTCGAGCCGACCCATTCGTGCTACAACTATACTACTAATATAACTGCAGCATGGCTCTACCACGTATAAAAAGTTATATCAGTTTAAAGATAACAGTTTGAGCTCTCCGTTAGTGACGATTTAAATCGTATATAATAATTAAGTGAGTGATTGGTGAATAATAACAAGAAATAGTGCAAAGTTTCAAATATTCTTCGCAACGGCTGAGACGGCCGATTCAAGGACGCCCCGCCCGGTCGGTCGGTCACTGACTACACTAGCTACGGCGTGCTTTTTCCTACAACAAACGTTGCTGCATCTTTCTATCTCTGTCAGCCGCTGCTAGCTGTTGCCACTTCGACTGTCTGCATTGTTTGTTTGCGCGTGAGTCACTAAGCTTTAATTGCTTTATAAGACTAAATTTGCTGTTTTTACAATTAGCAGTATGCCTAAATGCGGAGCTTACGATAAATTCCTGTCAAAAGTGGACAGTATTCGTTGTAATTGTTCCGCTGCTTTCCACAAGGCATGTGTAGGAATTCCAGAGACTTCTTCTGTAAATGGTGCGTGGGTTTGTCCCGGTTGTAAAATTAAAAAACCTGGAGAGGACAACACTTCTACTCTTGTGAAGGGACTGGCTAATACATACCAAAGTAATCCTAATAGTACGAATAATTCAGCGGACAATACCACAGAGGAACTTAAGGTTGATCTGGTCCTAGAAATTAGATCAGAGCTCAAAGCCATTAGAGAGGAGGTTCACGAGTGTCGCCTAGAAATATCGGAGTTCAAGGCCACACTTAGTGCGTTTGAGATAAGAATGCGTGAAATAGAAACCAGGATTTCTGCTTTGAAGAACAAGAACTCCCAAATAGCATCCTCGTCAAACACTAGCGCACTCCAGGATACTATCACTGAGCTGAAAGTTCAACTTAATAACAGGGACCAGGAGCTCCTCTCCAATGACGTTGAAATATCCAGCATAACTGAGCTTGGAGGAGAAAACCTTATGTCAACAGTTACAGTTCTATCTACGAAGCTGGGAATAACATTAGACAAAAGAGACATTTTTAACGTGGAACGTGTTGGCTTAGCACGTCGCAATAGGGTGGAGGGGAGTACTTGCGACGACGATCTCAGCTCAATGCGTCCGCACATTATAATAGCAGTGCGGTTCACCCGCCGAGCTACGAGGGGCGAGTGGCTGTGCGCAGCTCGCGTGCGCCGCAACCTCTCCACGAAAGACATCGATGTGACTGGCAAGCCGAGTAGCATATATATTAATGAACGACTCACGCACACTCTTTTTCCTTGCACGTCAAGAGGGCAAAAAACGCGATTGGAAATATGTCTGGTCGAAAGATAGAAGAATACTGGTTCGTAAAGACAGTGGTGAGAGGGTGTTTCATATCCGTAGTGAAAAGGACCTTTTCAAAAATTTTTTGTCGATCGCAGTTTGTCTCGATCGTGCCCTATCTTTTTCTTTATACTGTATATAAACATGTATTTTTACTGGTACCTTATTTATCCGTGTCTCAAATTTCTTCCAAGAATATTATCTTACCTTGTATATGATAATTTATACCCCACTGTAAAACAAATAAATTTTTATTTTTTAGATATTCCTATAGGTCATCTTCTGATTACTTATATTTATAAAAATAGCCTATGGTTATGAACGTCTGTGCACTGCAGGAGCAATCGTCAGTTTAAGAGTGTCCGTGAATTCTATTAATATATATTTTGTTATATCTATATACCATGGTGGAGCCACGTGTTTAAGGCTGCCGAAAATCTAGTTCCCCGGTCGAACCTTAAACCTATTACGCGAGATATTAACTAAAGTGGACTGTATATGCGAATTGCTTCTATGCTTACGTAAAAGCGACTACTATAGCATGCGGTACAATGCACTCGCTCTTCCCTAAACTAAAACTATTACTTGCCAAATCGATGAAAGGAATCCTGCTTGATTAGGAAAACACAAAGTTGGAGCGGGTTAAAACTATTATCAAGCAGGTATAATAATGGATATTGACTCACCGGGGTTCTTCTATCTTTTAGAGCACTATAGCGGCGACTTCCGGAACTTCTTCTGGACAGACACTCTGGGGCCCCAGGGGTGCGTCGGGAGAGAAGCGTTGTAGTTCAACGACGGCTGCGGCGAGAAGAAAGAGGCCGCGCATCGGTCGCGCGTGCCTTATATATCCTCGGCTCCGATGATTACGCGATGTTCTAGAATCATCTTCTTTCCCCTCCCACCCCACCACCCCGATGTGTCGATAGGAGGGTACGAATGATATCGTTTTGGAAAGGAATAACGATTCGGCAAGTCCTACCGTCATACAAAAAATATGCGAATGGTTTTCCGCGCAACCATCTCCCCCGTCCTTGACGGATTTCCTTCAAAAAATAACTAAAACAACTAGAGCTAAGATCAACTAACAAATAACTAACTATATATATATATATGTTTAAAGACATTTATTCTCATAAAGACATTTTATACGCCACTTACATGAGAACATAAATAAAAGTAAATCTAACTAACAAAATTCATTGTCGTACCTATGTTGTTGAAAAATAAATAACATCAAAAACAGCTATTGACGGGAAAAAGCTATACAAATAAAAGAAAAGTTAAATTCTACTATACACTATCACCTTATCACCACAATAATAACCAGGAACAAACCAGTCCAACGCACTCAGATAGATATGTTTGTGATTATATGATTTGCTAGTCGCTTTTTGAATACATTGAACGAGTCTACATTTTTTATTTCCGAGGGTATCTTATTAAAAAGGCGCGAACCTTCGCATGTAATTGTGGTCTGGCCGTACTTTGTTCGAGTTTTAGGCAAAACAATGAAGCTTGCGCGTCGAGTGCAGATGCGCCCAACTTTTTTTCGCTTGGCGAATTGCAGATCCGTGCGGACCTTCTTGTTCATGGATTTGCGAATAAACATACATGTGCTGTAAATGTATAATTGTTCGATATTCATCAGATAACTTCAACTAACGCTAAGATTACCTAAATTCAACTACAATTTTAATCTAGAAAGCTAATTTAAATTATGGAAGAGGCAAGGGGCACAAACGGACAACAGGACGTAGGTAAGACCCAACCGTGGTCTTAACGCGAGCTATCCTAATTACTCCGTCGGAACCGGGGAAGACCTCTTCGACAATTCCTAACGGCCAGTGGAGAGGCGGCGCATTCTCCTTAGTGAGCACAACTACAGTTCCTACAGCTAAAGGCTCTGTCGTTGTGTTCCATTTTTGCCGAGACTGCAAAGTATGCAAGTATTCCATCCTCCATCGTTTCCAAAACGATTGCACTAATCGATCTAATAATTTGTGGCGTGCGGAAATGCTAAGTCTGTTCTCATCCATATCCGCGGCGGGCCTTTAGACTTACTTTAACCTTAGAGGCGTTAAATTCAAAAAATGTGCTGGAGTTAGAGCCAGCGGTTCCGAGGGGTCACTAGATAACGTCCGACAAAGTGGGCGGCTATTCATTACGCATTCTATTTGAGCGAGCACCGTACTTAGCTCTTCGAAGGACAGAATTTGATCTCCTATTACTCGGTGTAAGTGGCTCTTTAGACTCTTGATATTGGTCTCCCAATTGCCTCAAAAATGACTCGCGGCTGGGACGTTCAGAGACCACTCAATGAATGGGAGGTTCTCGGCTAGAATGTGAACGAACTCCGAATTATAATACTTGCTAGCTAAGAGCTCATGTAGTTCCGATAGAATACGTTTTGTACAGACGTAGTTCGTACCGTTATCCGAATATAATTTACTTACAGGGCCTCTACGGGATAGAAATCTTTTAAATGCACCCATAAAGCCTGCTGTGCTTAGATCACCAACGAGTTCTATATGCATCGCTCGAGTAGTTAGACATACGAAAATGCAGACGTAAGCCTTTGTAGATCTTATACCACGCCCGCGAGTGAGCGTGACCTTAAACGGACCAGCGAAATCAGATCCGGTGTGCGTAAAGGGCTTTACCGATTGTATCACTCTACAAGATCTAAGTTCCGCCATTTCCGGAAATGACGGCTTGGGGCGTGCCCGAAAGCAAGCTATACATCTGTGCACCCGATTGCGTATTAAACTACGTGCAGAAAGAATCCAATAATTCTGACGCAAGATCGACATCAATAAATCGGGGCCAGCGTGTGAGTTCAATTTATGATGGTAATCGACTAATAAGTTCATGATATGGTCTTTACGCGGTAAAACTATAAGGTGCCGTTGGTCGAAACTCAACCGCGAGTTGGACAAGCGTCCACCTACCCTTACAATCCCATCCTGTAAAAATGGCTTAAGGCGTTGAAAGGCGCGACTACAAGCTCTATTCGATTGTAATCTTGTAATTTCTTCAGAGAAATGCGCACGTTGAAGTTCACGTAATACTAGCGACTCGGCATAGTTGTAATCGGACGCTAAGACATACGAACGTCGCGGTAAAAGCTTCGCGAATCGACAAACGTAAATTACGCTACGCAATAATTTCGACCAAGAGGACAAGCGGTTCGCCAGAGCAATGATTGGAGAAACCTCGCTCGAAACGTTCGCCACTAGAGCGTGTCTCTTCTCTTCCGGCGGTTGTGACACTGACGAAGGTTCGAAATTGGTTATTGGCCATTGCGAGGGATCCAAGTGAACCCAAGAAGGTCCGTGGAACCAAAGCGGGTGGTCCATTATTTGCATCGGGGTGAGTCCCCGGGATAGACAATCGGCAGGGTTTTCCGTACCGGATACGTGATAAAAGTTCCGCGTTTCTAACTCGTCTTGGATCTTGGCCACTCGGTTCGCGACAAACGTATCCCAACGGTGGGGTGAAGAATGAACCCAACATAAGGCGACGGTGGAGTCGGAAAAGGCAAATATCCTTTCTATGTGAACTCTATCCCTACATGCGCTGATAACTGCGGTAATAAGCTTGGTGAGTACTAATATTGCGCAAAGCTCTAAGCGCGCCAGAGAGACAACCTTACGGGGGGAGACTGTCGACTTAGAACTAATGAGGCTAATCGAGTTTCTACCATTATTCTGAACGTGGAAATATACAACGCCCCCGTAAGCCTTCTCGCTGGCGTCTGCAAACCCAACGACCGTTATGCTACTATTTCTATCGACGTTTATATGACGCGGTATTTTAATTTCTCTTAGTAAAGGAAGTTCCTCTCTAAAGCGCTGCCACAATCGAACAATGCTGTCAGACGGCGAGTCATCCCAATCGCATTCAAATAACCAAAGTTGTTTAATCAAAAGCTTAGCGTATAATACCACCGGAGCTACGAAACCCATTGTTGACGACGCTCACGTTGCTTCTCGAACACCTGAAATATAAATAATATTAATCAATAAAAAATAAAATATGTAAAATATATACTCATAAAACATTGTTACTTACCTTATGTACTTGCTGTTTTTCTATAATAAATAAGTACGTGTGCATACGGGGACGGTGGCACTTACCGCGATTTTTATCAGTAGGGGGAAGGTATATTTGCAACAACGGTGTTGCACCGCTGAGTACATGATCCCGCGTTTCGAGTTAGTTGCACTAGAACATCATACGAGGTGACACCTATGTCTCCCTCCCCGCGGATGTACACGCGCTCACCAAATTTTTTTTAGTATATTTTTCTCCCAGACGACACCAGCGGCCTACATCATCAACATAGTGGTCCTTCGGCCGAATCCTTACGTCGTCTGCAAAAATATAATAATAATAAGTACCAGTTATGTTCCACGCGCCGGCTACGCCGCAAAAAAAGCGACGACCACGTGGCACCGCTGCAAAATCAGAGTGCAAGAACAACCAAGATGTGTTACCATCGTTCAGCTTAAAGGATGAAGTGCTGGAAAAACCTGGAAATGCGGTAAGTGCCTCTAGTAAGAGTAAAAAGTCATCAAAGACCGCAGGCACGTCGTCAAGTACGGCACGCAAACGGCAATTGGAATACGAAACCGCTAAAGCTATGGCTCTCGTGGAAATACAAGCAGCGGAAGCTGAAGTGCAAGCAGCTGAAGCAGAAGCCAAAGTTAAGAGTGCTCAGGCAGAAGCTGCCAAGCTTAAGGCAAATATTCAGTCGAAGCTGCTAAACAAACAGCTTGCAGCTGAGATGGCAGAATTGGAGTCTCATTCACGCTCTTCCCACAAGTCGGCTATGAAATCTTCGACCAGCAAAGTTGAAAATTGGCTGAATGCTCCAGGAAACCAGCATGAGGAGAACCGAGAAGAGTACTCTTGTGAAAAAAATCGGCCTAGAAAAGCTGGCACATGCCTTGAATGATGCAGTGGCTGCCTCATCATATAAAATACAGAACCAGGAGCTCTTAACA